TAACGGTCACATTTTTAATTCATACTCTACATTTATTAAGTTTTCTGGCATGAAGATGAGAAGAATGTTTGGGGATTTTTCTTGTGTGCGTGAATATCTCCATTAAAACCTTGAACGTTCTATCCCTGACGAGCTGTATATTTTGTTCGTGGATGTTAATTGCGTAGAAACTGTGGCCTATAAATAAATCCATGAAAAGATGGGAATGGTATGAAATAAATTGAACTTGTATTCAATTCAGTAGGATCCTACAAATCGTTTTGTCTTCCATATTAAAATTTCAACAAAGCACACTGGATTGTATGCCATATGCATTAGAAATGCCACAGAACTGCTGCAGTTTCTTCCCAGGTTTGAGTTCAGTGGGACTTAATATGCCTATGTAAATACTTTGCTGAATTAAAGTCTTAGTGACATAACATTTTTGGTTAGGTGTTGCTGAGGGACTGTACTTTTAATATTCAAATTACCTTATAATTTTGTGTTTTAATTTAGACTATTAAAGAAAGAATTAGACAGATTAGAGATATGGGTGCGCAGAAGGTTGGGTAATGTGCAAGGCTGGGTGTCAGACTCAAGGTTAAGATACATTACCCTAACCTTATACACCCTTTGACATTCCATATCTCTAACCCTGTAAAGCATTTTACATCCATGTAAGCTTCCTTACATGGTTTCTTTAGAGAAATGGCTTTTGGCCTTGGCAGAGAGGATCTAGGTTAAACCCAACTAACCTGAATTCAAGGTTAGTGTAATGTGCAAAATATAGTTAGGAGAATGCGTGTGTCTATGTATATTTTGAGTTGTCTTTCTTGAAGAGCGTATAGATATGTCTGATATGTGTGGCTTTTATTCTCTCACTCTTGTTTTTCAAATTCTGCTAATACCCAGGTCTTGTAAGAATCTGAAAGTAGTATAATCTTCTGTTTTAAAAATCATAAGGTTATATTCAGCTTTGGATGAAACTGCATAACATCTGGAACCAGAATGTATATGAGGTCTGCCATATTTCATCTTGTTACCATACATTTGAGCTGCTTATCTACCTAAGACCTTACTTGGAATGTGGTTTCCCTGCTTATTTGCTTCTGTTTAGATACATAAAAGCCTTACATGATTTCCTTAGAGTAATGGCTTTTGGCCTTGGTAGAGAGGATCTAGGTTAAACCCAACTTCCTTGAACATGTTTTTATGGTGAATTGAATTAAACAATTGTATTATTTGTTTTGTTGCCTGGGCTAGTTTGAACATGACAGTTTCCAGTCTGAGAACTTCCTTGCAGCAGATAAAGAGTACATATGCAAAATCTTGCAAAATGTTTTGCAGGGATAGCGAAATGGAATTAGGCTGAGTTGAAAGTGTTCCACATTTTGCAAAATCAGGCATGATTTGTAAAATATGGTTAAAAATTGTGCAAAAAATATTGCCCTTCCAGTTTTGGCATTCCCTCCCCCATTAACCTTACTTGGACTCTACCCTGGGCATTATCACTAGGCTTGTGGTTTCATTGGCATAGTCACTTCCTAGGGACTTCTTATAGATCAGGAGGTGCTGAAAAGCAAATGAAGCATTTCTGTATTCAGCATATCCCCATTGCCTGGCATTTGCGTATTCTGCACCTAGTTTTAGAGCTCATTTAGTGTTTCTTCCTTATTCTGGACTTTTCAGTCCTCCTTTAAAAAAACAAAAAACTTATGGAAGCAATTTGCTTTGTTTTTATTCCACAGCCCTTCACAGAATGAGAGAATTTCCTTAGAAGCAACTTTTGTTTGTTCTTTATTTGCTTGTTTGTTTTGTATCTTATTTTATGACTTATTTTGTGGATCATCAAAATATATTCACAGACCATTTCTATGAATATATTTATAAGGAGAATTGCATGTATATATTTTGACTAGCACACTATGTAATGTATTATAAAATCACATACTCCAAGGAGTCATGTTTTGCAATTTAACTATATTTAATTATGTATCTAAATACATTAAGTCTTGCTTTACAATAAAATAGTGGGGGCCAGCCTTTTTAGCAGGCATGCCACAGAATAGCCCTGCACCCTCCCCTAGTGGCACTCTAATACCCTTCCCCTGCCAAATCAGATGCTCTGTTTTTTTCTTCCTGCCCTATTTGTCACTACATTGCCTGTCCCCTCCCAAATTTGTTACATGCCACACAGCCTTCCTGTGCCACAGGTTGGTCACCCCATGCAGTAAAACATTATGGTAATTTTTACAATATGGAAAATTGTGCAGTTTAAATACGTGTATATAAAGCATGCAACAGATTTGTCCTGAAATACTTAGATACAGAAAAAGTCAGTGCCTTTTTCAGGGGGGTGGGATAAAACAACGTTTGATTTCAAGGGTGTTGGTTTTATAGTGTTTAAGCTATTAAATTGTATCCAAGAATAAACTTAAAGACTCTCTTACAGCTTGAAATGCAAAAGGAAAAGGATTTTTCAGTAATCATCTATTGTGTATATTTGTTGGACTAAAAAACTGGAAACAGAATATTCTGTATTTCAGTGTTGTTAACTATTTTTTGCTGTATTAAGTCTGTCTAATAAGCACAACAAAATAAAAAAGATTTCTGCATCAGATGCTTGCTGAATGTCATTGGTTCATTCAGTTTCTGCTGCCAATTTTATTAGGTTTTAAAAAAAAATCTTTAACTCCTATAGTGTACTATACATACACAAAATACTCTAATTCTTATTCGAATGCATGTAAAGTTCAGCTCACAGGGTACTGTAAAACTTAAAATGACAGCACCATAAAAGTTCACAACTTAATATTAAAAAGCCCTAAAATTAGATGCTGAGAAGTGTCAAAGATGGTCGAAAGGTGCTGGGCTGATAATTTTTAATATTTAGATTGATAATTTATAATTCTTTGTCTGTGGATCCTGCAATCTGATTGGCAGAAACGTGGTCCTTAACCAACAGGTAAACCCCCAAAATTTTAAATCATGACCTCATTTTTAGCCAATCAGATCTTTCCATTTCAAGCATATTACCCTGCCTATAGACAGAGAGCTAGACATCTGGCCATGTGACTTTGAAGGTTAGGCCCAATTGAAAACTTGTGGAAGGACTTTGGAAGAATAATGTTGAAGCAAAGTATAATGACAAATATCAAAGGGGTATCCCTGATTTATTTTTTTCTCTTCTTAGTTAACTAAGGAGAAAAAAAAGGCTTAATACTGGTTAGGGTACATCTATCAGGGTAGTGAATATAAAGGATTTTACAAAACTCATGTGACCTGACGTCTAGTTCTCAATGTCTATGAATTTGTCATAACTGTCACTTTCTGCTATGAAGAAAGGAATGTTCCATTTTTCAAATAAATTAATTTTGAGTACTGTACATAATTTCTGAAACACGTTGTTTTCCAACAAATTTATTCTGTCGTAATCCATCTCTTGAGCATATCGTTCTATAGCAGCAGTGATGACTCATTTGTTGGCCTTATATGAAAGAATGCCTAAAGTGTTAAGTGTTATCTACTTGGCTTTGATTCCTTAGTTCCTCTTACAAGTCTTTGTCTTTTGAAAGACCAGCAAGTGGGTCGCTGTTGCTGAAATTATTTGTCGCTCATTTTGCACCCTGCATGCAATTTGTTTTAAAAATTGACAATGCTTTAAGTTTTGTGAAAACTTGTTCCTACCGTTTTGTTTAATAATTTAAAGGAATTCTAACTTAAACAGTCCTATCAGTTGCTTCAGAAACAAAATAATTTGACTTCCAAAATGAGATGTTAAAACTAATTTTCCATTTGGGTTTTGCTTTGATCCCTTTTAAAAATGATCACGCAGTATCTGAACTAAATAAAGACAGACATCCATATCTATTTGTTCTCTAGAAATGTTTTTTCATATTAACTTGCTGCTTTTATAAATTCATCAGTAAAAGACCCCAGTGATCATATGCCAACAGTACACATACTTTCCTGTGGATGCTGGTTTATAATGCCAACACAGAAAAGAAACTGTAGGTGTAGCTTAGCCATTTTGGCTTGCTCTCTGTTTAGATATATTAGGGAAGAAAAAAATTTGCCAAAGGCAAACAAACCATATAATTGTTTGATGTTTCAGGCGGATTGCATTGTAATATTAGAGTCCGCTTACCTGGCAGTTTGTCAGATGTCATGGATACAAGTGTTGTCCAGTCAAATTTACAAGATCATATTTCAGTGAAACACGTAAGAACGCATTTAAGTGCTTTGCTAGTTCTCTAGAATACTGAAGTTGGGGAACAAGGTGTCAACCCCAGGCTCTTTCTTGGTATGATCTTCTGTTGGGATCAGGCCAAAATTACGGAATTAGACCACTGCGTGAGTGCTTTACCATCTTCTCTGCTATGGAATAAATTAGTTCGGTTTTGTGTGATTCTGATTAATTGTACTCAGCAGCTGAAAGCACAGGCAGACCATCTCCAAATAAGAATACACACCAGCCTTCCTGTCAGACAGCATCAGCTAGTCATATGACAGCATTAGTTGACCTAAAAGAGAGGGAGTTCATTCCTTGTTAAACTATAGGTATGTAAGGATTACCTAGATCTGGTCAGTAGGCTTTCTCTGACAATAACCAGTAGCAGATGCTTCCAGAAGAAGCTATAAAACCTGAAGTTAGCAACTATGAAACACCCTTGCTTGTAAGTGAAGCTTTCCTAATTTATTTATTTCCTTCATGTAGAAGTCAGCATGTCCTCTGAAGCATAAGGGTCTGATTTGGACCCTTTGTAAGACAACAGAAAGAAGAAAAGGTTTCTGGACAATGTTACCCTATAAATTGGGAAAACAACATATACTCTAAATATCTCCATAAACAGAGAAAGTGAATAGTGAGAATTAATCCTTTTTGCTATAGATAAATCTTTTATATTGTATTGTTCATGTTTGACTGAGAAGAAGACACGTTAACTATTATTTCCACCATATTCTGTGAAAGGCTTGATTTGTGATGGAAAAATTAACTGGGGTAGTTTTGTTTTCTGCAGAAAATATTGCAGCTACTACCTGAGAGGATTTATTATCGATGGCATTTTCACAGTATAGGTAAGAAGCATTCTTTACTAATGTTTTACTAACATCGTAAAGTAAAATAGTTGTTTTACACTACTGGTCCTGCTTTTTCTCCATCGGTCTCAGACTTTAGTGAGAACAGTGTTAAAATATGATAATTTACCATTTTTAAACTTTTCTGTTAATGCAAATATAAGCTGGTTAGTGATGACCTTTTCAGTAAGATTCTCAAGAACCTCTTTGTCTTTGTCAAAAATCCAGGTAGGTTACTTTGACACAAATAGCCCTGCTCATTCCCAGACCAAGGCCTGTGACCCACAAAACAATCTAGTAGTAGCAAAATGCATACAAAATTCTTCAGTGCAACTCAAGAGCTTACAAGTCTTGAACCAAATTGAATTTTTTTTCTTTCTGCCACAGAAGACTTTATATATGTCTTCTGAATTTGGTTTTTAATATTCGGTTGGCCGTTCTCTTCTTAAACATTTTTAATTTCAGAGTTTTATATTCTGGGTTCCTGCAGCCCTCCAAAACTTTAGGCTTATAAAGAAGCATAATTTTATATATTCCAAGTTTCATATATTAAGTGGTGGAGATGCAGAACAAACTGAAAAGTATGTTTTATTGGTCATTTTTATAGTAACGTGGAGGATATGTTTTCATATTACGTATATTGCTCTAGTTTGTAAAAAGGCTTTAAAGGATTGACATACATTAAGACATTTTTTTCATTTTTAATAATCTCTAGGAAAAATAACACATTATGAAAAAAATGCTGTCCTATAAAACTCTAGAATTTGGATTTTATATCTTCTTAAAGGATTGCCAAGAGCATTACATATCTAATGATGATGTATCTGATAATACACTCCTGTTCTCTAGGAAAGGTGGGTTGCAAGATTCACATCTTTAGCATTTGTGCTAATAGAAGGCAGTATGCTTCAATATTTAAAGCAGGAACCTTCTAGTCAGGAGACCCAAATTGTACTCCTAACTTCCGCTAACTGTGGATCTTCGGGCAGATTTTTACCTTTTTTGCACCTGTATTCCCATCTCTAAAATAGAAATAGTATTTAGGTGCTGTTTTGTAAAGCATTTCGTAATTGTTAGATGAAAAATTGTATGGTATCTGAGATTTAAATTGCTGAAAGGGCAAAAGCAGCCTAAAAGATGTCTTTGTGACATACTCTGGGACAGTTTAGAATGAATGGATTAAATGACAAATAGAGAATGTTCATCTCTGTTAGGTTAAAATTTTGATTTCTTTCTCTTTTTTGGTTGTTCACATGAAAGTTGTCCATTTTCTTCACATCAGTAATTTGAATTTGGAAAAGTTAAGTTGCACTTTTCAGCTTCAAACTGAGAAATATAATACCAAACTAATTTCGACATATCCTCTGAAACCTCCGTGCATCACACATGAGCAGACCTGAAAATGCAATTTTTCTCTTTTCAGGAATATGATGCTTGCAAAGAGTAAAATAGAGAGTTTAGAATGCGAAAGTGTCTTGCTACATATTGTGGCACAGAGCTTTTTTTAATGTTAGGTATTGAGCCCGTTTTCCAAACTAACAGTGTTGTAGTATAGCTGTGTATGGCCTGCTACCGCTGAGGGGGGAAAAAAAAAGCAAAATTGATTTTTTTGGATAGAAGCAGAGAATGTTAGGGTTGAACAGAAGCAGAGAATGTCAAACCTTGGTTGAATAGGAATAGTAGGAGTGAAAGGAGTAGAGAGTGGGTACAGGTAACAGGGGCAGGAGCTGGAGTGGAACATAAGGGTACAAACATAGTTTGGAAGTACAATGGCAGAAGGATCAGTAACCATTTTATAGAATCACTTGAAATGTGCCACTCCAGAACCAGGAAGTGATCCTGTGAACCTTAACTCTTTATGTACATCTGCTTTAGGTAAACATCTGTGAAACCCACATACAATGCATGTCTCCTTCCCCTGTAGAGGTTAGCAGCTTATTATCACCAGCAGTTACTTTCTTAGATCAAGTGATAAAAGTGTCACCGCTGGATAAAAAGGTCCAAACATTGCTGATGACTAAAGTGGGGGTGGTCAGAACAGTTTCCTGTGGTGCAATTTTGTTTTGATTTATTTTTTTTAAATCAGGAAATTGCATTAAAAGAATAACATATTGCAGAAAATGTAACTTGGTAAACCTAACACTCAAAAATTGAGAGATATGAAGGTGGTATTTAAATTTTAGTTTAGCTCCTTTCTGAATCTGCATTATGATGCAGGCTTTAATATATATTTATGATATGCAAGGGGAGTTTAGGTTTATTAGGAAAAAACTTTTTCACCAGGAAGGTAGTGAAGTGCTGGAACCAGGCTAATTAGCGAGGTTGTGGAATATCCATCTTTGGAGGTTTGTAAGACCTGGTTAGACAAAGTCTGGGCTGGGATGATATAGTAGGGGCGGATCCTGCTTTGAGCAGGGGGTTGGACTAAATCAGTGGTTCTCAACCTTTTTTGTACCAGGACTGATTTGTAAATATCAGTGGCCATTTCCAAAACAGTGCCCCTCACTCCCAGCCCCCAACTGAGGAGCTGGAGGGGGGTGGGTGGGGAGGAGACATCTGGGGGCCTAAGCAGCCTCTTGCAGGCTGGATCTCTGTCATCCTGCAAGGGAAAAATAAGTTTCCCACATTTTTCTCCATTAAAGGAGTATCCATTCTTAAAGTTTGTTTGCAACCCTTTCATATATTCTTGTGACCCACTTTTGGGTTGCAGCCCACGGGTAGAGAAATGCTGGACTAATTGACTTCCTGAGGTCCCTTCCAACCCTAATTTTCTGTGTGTCATGAACCCTGTTATAGTTTTGGTGTTCATGGCATGTCGTAATTGTTTTCTTGTATTTTATTGTACTGATACGGCATGTGCAATTCTGTTGGTAAGCCCATGTTATGCTGTATCCATTTATGCTATTATCACTATATGGATTATGTTATGTTGACTATGTATATCTTTGTGGTTTTGGATATGGTTTCACCAGGGAACTCAGGGGCTAGGGACAGACATTCAAAAAGCCTGAGCCTGAATTGATTCAATCATTGCAGATTAGTCTAACCTGGCTAGGCTGAACCGGTTTGTAACTGCACAGACATCCCAGAAATGCAGGCATATGCCTGCAGTAACTCAGGCTAGAAGCTGGGGGGTGCTAGAGCAGCCTTCCCATCCCATTCACAGTACTGAGCTGAGGGGGGCAGGATGCTCTGATTAGCCCAGCAGGGAACTGATAACAATGTTTATCACTCCATTAAGAAACCAACAGCGGCACATTACCAGCTACCTGTTGATTCTGCCTGTTGATTCAGCACGGACCATAGTCAGCATGTGGTCTGATAGCTAATACACAGACACCTCAAGGCAAGGCAGAGGAGAGGGGGGAATTTCTGTTTAGCAGGGAGTGGTGAGGGGGAGCAGCCCACAGTCTTGCCGGAGTTGCAGTCAGGAGCAGAGGGGAGTGGCCAGCCCTGCTGTGGAGTAGAGATCCCTGCCCAGCCCAGAGAGCATGCCAGGATGCTGGGGGAGTCTGGTTTAACTTAAACCAGTAAAGGATCTGAGACAAACATTGCATAAACCAGTTTGACCCAAATCAGTTAAGTCTGATACTACATTCAACCAAGTTTATCTCAAACTGGTTTCAGCCATTTTCAAACTGGTTTATGTGCACTGAACATCTGTTCTGTTATAGCTTTAAACCAGTTTCTGATCACTTAAACTGGTTTATGTGTAATGTCTGTCCCTAGCCAGGGAGTGGACGGAACTGCTAGTTGTCCCTTGCCATTGTGTTCCAGGGCCAGGACTTTGTTTCTCATAATAGCAGAAACAAGGGGCTACTGGTAGGGTGGGCAGCCCTGGACATTGTCTGGCTGCAATTGAGGAATCAGCTCCACAATAGGAAAGGATCCGAGAGTAATGGCCCAACAGGCCGAGGAAGTGCAAATAGCCAAGGAAACCAGAACCTTGTGGAGGATTCTGGTGACTCGTGGAAGATTAGAATAATGCTGATTAAGGGGCTGGCTTTGGAAACTTTTCAGGATCCGGTCCTGTTAGAAATCAGACTTTGTGTTGATTCCATCATTCCTAGTAACTGGGGTTAGTACAGTGTTTTGCAACCTTTTTTGCCTCACAGCACACTTACCTAAATAAAAAAGCACCACGGCACACTGGACATGGAGTGGGGAAGACGGGGTGGCACATGGCCAGCTCCGGACACCGACAGGGAGGGGTGGCATGTGACCAGCCAGATGGCATTTTGGGCTGGAGCCGTGCTCCCTGTCTGCCTGTGTCCGCTGTAGCAGCAGGTGGGGGTGTGGCTCCAGCCCAAAATGCTGTGCCACACCTGGACATTCCTGACATCACACCAGTGTGCCATGGCACACTGGTTGGGAAACACTGGGTTAGTAAACCCCGCAAAGCCAGAAATTCAAAGACAAATATTCAAAGGACTCTGGTAAGGATTCTCATGAAAGGTTAGGGGTAGGTAGATGAGAGAGTAAGAATCTGTACTTTTGTGACTCCAGACCTATGTTCTGTTTTGTTTGCATAATTCTTTTTGTCCTGTGTAATAAATCCTTTTGCTGCTTTTTTTTCTAACTGATTGCTGGTGGAGAGTGATTTCTGGGTGAGTGATATTCCAGGCTGTCACAGGGCACTAAGGTGCCTGCTCCTATAAGAGCAGAAGCTGCCTAGGGAGAGGGCCCTAAGAGCCAGACAGAAGCCCACAGGTGCAGGTTACTAACGCAACAGACTAGTGAGTAAATTAGCCTGCATCTGCACCCAGTCAGCTGACCGGAAGAGGCAGGGCCCTGGGCAAATATAAACCCCAAGGCTGGGACCAGAGGGGGAGTTCTCTGTCAGCAGCCAAAGGAGAAGAAGCTCGCCAGAGAAGCTTCGCTGCCTGTTCTACTCCGGGTAGGATGAAGGGGCTACAGGAGCTCACCAGAGACCCTGGCTTATAAGGCACTTAGTGCTGGGAGAATTTTGATCTTTTAAAGGGACAGAGCACACCTTGAACTGCTTATATTATGTTATAGCCCAGGGGCTCAGATTTTAGTTGCTGTTTGACCGATGGATTGGGCTGAGGCTGTTGGGGAAGGAGGAGGCCTCATTGGGGGCCCACGACAGTGTGGGTACCCCAGCGCCAGAGAAGGGCGCAGTGATAAGGGGGTGAGCAGACCCTAGCACAGAGACAGGGCTGCGAAGAGCCCAGTGCCAGTGTGGGGTGCAGAGACAGGGCTATGGAGAGCCCAGTGAGGACAAGGGGCCAAGTTATAGCAAGGCCCAGGAGAGAGAACGTCAATACCATCTGCAAGGCTTAAGGCATGGTAAAGGGGTGGTTTTGGAGCCACGCATTTAGCCCATAAGGCTGAGAGTGTCCCATGAATCATCCATTTTGAAGCAAGACACCAAGGGGTCTAAGAACCCACAGTGTTCAGTGGGGTCCAGCAAGACTCTGTCCAGACAATAAGATCAAGGGCAGCCTCCCCATATTAAAATGACCAGCAGGACGTGGCAGGTGACAAAGCAGTTGCCTGTTGGGCAGGATTGGCATAGTCAAGGAGCCCTAGGGGTATCATGGCCATCCCTGGGGACCCCATCCTATGACACAGGCTGACTCTTTTGATGGAGAGGGGGACCTGTAATTTCTTCCATAACCCACAAGTGGAGACCACTTGAGGCTGAGATCTGCTGGGTTAGGGCACTATGTCAGGGCAATATCAGGTCTGTTACTTGAGGCAAGTGACAGTGCAGTGGGGAGAAACTCAGAGCTGTGGGGGTTCCCTGTGGACGGATTTGTGACAACAGGAATAGAATCCAGTTATTTAGGCATCATTTAGCTAGCCTAACTGCAAGACCATCGTTTTTCTTCCCGCAAATAGCCTACCTCACTACCTTCCAGTGTCTGCCAAAATAGGAGAGATGTTTTACAAATAAAAGCCTCGTGCCCTCAACAGCTTGAGTTCATTCCCAGGGCACTATCCATCCTCTGTACTGAATGAGATCCTAAAGCAAAAATGTCATCACGTAGTTAAAGATTGCATCATAGTTTATGCATACAAAGCTGAATCAAGATTTCATTGACAACTTGGATGAAGGCATTCCCTAAGTTTTGAACACCAGATTTTGTAACGTTAACATTCTTTTAATATAATTTTGTCTTTCTTTAATAACTGTGAAGTCTTAATATCAGTTGTGCAAGAAGCTAGTCTTATACCCCTATGAAACTTGAGAAGCCAATAATAGAATGAGATGGAGCCTCATTTGCCTTACGAAGTTTTGCAGTTTTTGAAAGAGGCTCACTTGTCACATTTTAGAGATTTAACAAGTGTGTATTTTAGTGCAAAAATTACAAACAGTGGTACAAATATCTTGATTTACGTTTTAGAAAAATAAATAGTTTTTTGGGGTTTTTTTTAGGATTAAAATCTTATTAGTCATGTATGTAAGAACTAGGAGGTGAAGCTAATTGTTGTCTTATTATTGAAACTGGATGAATAAAACAGAAGAGTAGAGAGAGGCCATAAAATAAAATTAATTTTCAGAGTTCCTTTCATTTTAAAAATCTGTTGTTTGTAATATGGAATCGGAACTTTAAAATATTTAGCTTGGTAATGTTCCTGGTAATTAGAGTATATTAGATTCATTACTGCTGTGAAAATGAAAAGCTCTAATTCTGAATACTGCTGAAGTGGAGAGAATGTGTACTATGCTGCTTATTGAAATAATTTGGACCCATGGTGCTTTTCTAAGTACTGCTTCTCATTTTGGTTTCTGACATTGATTTTGCTGTTTAATCAACTACTGTGTTTTCTAGCTGAGCAATGATTTTGTGATGGCAGCAGAAATAATGGGTGGAAATAAAAGGTCAAGGAAAGAGCTGTTGTCAAATTTCCAGTTAACACAGATGAAAATAAAAGGAGACATCTGCTTGGGTTGCTTCATGACAATTTCCTGTAAACTTGTATTGTGCAAATTAGGCTGAACTCAGCCTTTTTATAACTAACGTATTTTGATTTCTGAAATATAGTCATAATTAACCAATTTTTTAGGTAGTCTCACTTAGTATGCCAGCAATACTAGCCGACATTCATTTTTTCATGCAGATGATTTGGATTGGCTATTACCTAACAGGCATGTGCACTAATACAGCAAATATGTAAATTCATTAGTGCAATAGGATTAATTTAATATTATAGAATGGCTAAATCTTGTTCACTAGAATCTAAGTATCTGGTTAAAGTAGTTTGTTGATACTAAGGTATGGACTTGTTACGTCTCTTTGAGTTTAACACTGACAATATTATTTTGAGAGTTTAGCTAACACTATTTCACATTTTTCAAATTTGGAATGTTTTTTATATTACGGTATTAAACCAGAATTTTCATAGTTGCTTCTAATTTTGGCTCATACGGGTTGAAATAGATACTGTGTGCAGTTGACACAAATTTTAAACCCCTGTATTAAATGATCTTAAAACAGATTTTCTTTTCTTTTCCATGTGCATCTGCAAGCTTATTGGCATTACACACAGTGTGAACACGCACTCTTTTCCTCTCTGGTTTTGTCAGCATTGGTAAATTATGATGTAAAATATATGTAGAAAATGTTAATTGAGTTGTTTTAAATATTTCGCTTAAGTATAAAATTAGAAATCTCATAGGTTAGAGCAACCATTTTCTACTGTCTTTAAAAATGAGCAGGAATCCGACTAAAGCAAACATGTCAGCTGCAAAGCTGTACTGAATTTTATTTTACATCTGCGCATCAGCATATAGCATATATAATATTAGTTTTACATTTTTTTCCTTAAGATATTTCTTAAATAAGCACATTGCAGCCGTAGTATGATGAGCAGCACAGCACAGATGGTCTTTTGCAGCCAACATGCATGTTTGACAAAAGCAGGCACCTTCAGATATTTTACCAATGCATTTTTCTGTTTTGTTTTTCAATTTCAGGATCCATTTTGAAAAAGCTTTTGCACACTGGAAACTCTATAAAGGTATTTCTCTTAGATGACATATTTAGTGTTTCTTGCTACTTCAGTTTAACTGGTTGTGTACAGTAACGTCCATCTGTCAGTCTAATGTATCTGTCAATTTAAATTCCAAATCTGCTGTAATCATTTTTCAAATGAATGTATACTGATTATTACGGAAGTTCCTGTAAGTGGTATTTCTGTTTATAGTTCACAATTTTTTTACTCAGGTTTACAAGTTTACCTCATTATTGTAATATTTATATGATGATTTGCTACAGCTATAATACATTTTGTTAATTCTGCCTCTGGAAAAGATCAGTTTCTATGGATTAATAGATCTTCAGATATCCCTAGCCAGAAAGTTGACACATTACACTGTTAGTTTGAATGCAAAGTTTTATTTTTGTCAGTAGTTTTTAATCCATTGTTCTTTTTCTCATTCAAATACCAAAAATTAAAATTCTGCTGTATTTATTAGCTTTCTTTGTTAAAAGTTTACTCAGGGTCCTGTATCATTGGGTTATACAAAATAAATCATGACGTGAATAGTAATTTCATTAAGTAGAGTTTTTCAAGGAAATACTTGGACTACTATGGCAATATCCTATCCCCATTGAAGTGAATTGCAAAACTCCCATTGATTGTTATCAGGGTCAGGATTTCACACCTGATGTGGTATGATATATCGTCAGTTGCTGTAAGCAGGAAGTACAACCACTCTACTTCCTTCAAGGATCAACTTTAAGGTTTTGAACCTTGCATGCATCTGAGCTACATTTGGCAGATGCAGAATAATTTTCTGGAGTTACCACAGCTGTTTCACTCCTGGGTCAAGCTGAAACAGCATCAAGGTTGATCCAACTTGTGACAGCGTATAGGGCAGAGGTAGGCACCTTTTTAGATGCAACATTAGTGCATCGGGGTCTGAAAATGAGCTGCTGGTTGTAACCCTCCCACTGCTGCCACTTCCCCTACCATGTTTGTGATCCAGCCACCACTTCCTGTGCTGCTGTATGCTGCTAATTTTTCCTGCCACTACATTGCCACTGATATCCCAGGTTTGCAGGCTAGATGAAGTCATGTGGTGGGCTGGATCTGGCCTGTGGACTGTAGGTTTTTGACCCCTGCTCTAGGGAGTGTTTCTTTGGCTAGATGAAGCTGTACCCTTATCCTTATCTCTGGTTCCGACATACCCTCTACACTAGCAGTCAGTAAACTTTTTGAGTGGCAGCCCAAAGACAACTCATCTTGGGTCTGAGTTGGGCCAGCACCTTCTACCCAGCCACCACAGCCACTTCCCCTGCCACCCGACTACAGCACAGACAAAGCACCCTGCCTCCCAGCCACAGCACAGGGAAACCCCCTGCTACCAGAATGCTGCTAAAGATACCCAGCTCCATAGGCTGGATCTGGTTTATGGACCTTAAGTTTGTAATGCCTGTTTTACATGGTTAAACTAGCAGTTATTATTCTCTGTTTGTCTGGGGATGATGGGAGCGAAATCACTCACCATATTTCTGGTAAATAATTTTTCTAATTTCTTAAAATTGTATCGTCACTGTATTTTCAGGTTTATTTTAATATCACTTTCCACAAAATGTTCTTGTTTTAGATAAGATGTGAAGGAATCCGGCTGTATCTTCTTTGGCTTCAAGGACTTCAGACAAATTGTTCAGAAGAGCAAGTGTTAATTTTTGCATGTCTTGTGCCTGGTTTTCCGCCTATTATGTCATCAAGAGGTGCTTGTACACTGGATGCCCTCATTAGTCCTCCTCCCAGTTTACTTGATGGTAAGTAAAATCATGAATATTCACATGACTAATATATTACACTCTTTTCATTTTTAAATCATAGAATTATAGGCATGGCTCATGGGGAAAATATCTAATAGGTATACCTCATTGCATCTGAGATTTTGTATTGAGTTTATTACTCAATTAAAATTGTTTTCATTACACCAGATTCCCTTTATTTTTGTAATGCCAGCACATACATTTTAGTTTTCTTACTGTTAGAGAGATAAATAAATTGCCCAGGTCATCATTTCGCATATTAATTTTGACCTGTCACTGAACAGAATAAGTCGTAATAAGTTCTATTCAGTATAAATAGCTGAACTTCATCTTATTGTGGAAATAACGCTTGTTGGTGTTTATAGGTAGAAAAATGATTCTTAACTCTCTCATGCATTGTCATTAGACACCATCTTCAAGATCCACCAAGAGCAGTTCTGTACCTTCAAAGGTGAGGATATTTGGCCTGTGGCAGTGGGGGAAAGAAAATGCTTGGTTCTCTTTCCAGGATTGCTCCTTCTTGTTGTTCTTTTTGTGGACATTTAGGCAATTTGTATACTGCCTCCCTGCCGAGTCCAGGACTGCTGCTGATGAAATGAGCTCTGCCTACTCACTACTGCTCCAGACATGCAAAAACCGAGCAATTAGGCAGCGTGCGGCATGGATCACACTCCCAAGCATCATTCTTAGGCTTGGCAGCAGTTTTGTGCTCAACAGGGATGCAATATACACAAATCCTTGTTCCTATTGGACTGGTGGAGTAAACAGTTTTAGTTAGTTGGCTCAACTGAAAGATGCAGTAGAATCCTGTTAGTTAGCTGTGTACTTGAGGATAGGCTTTTACACACCTTTGCCCCTGCTAAGTGTGTCATTTTTTACCTGGGAACAAAAGCTGTCCCCACCTCTGAGGTCAGTTTTGTTCTTACCGTGTGCATCATGCTAGTTTCTCAGTGGTCTAGAAATTAATTTTTATCTTGGTACCAGATTGGTCTGGGTGGTATGGTTAGGTTAGATTGTAAGGCTTTCAAGTTTCTCAACTTTGCTGGCATCTGGTTTGGTAGTAGTTCAGGTCTCTGATGAATTTGCCTTAGGTTTAGGGGAAGGTATATCCCCTGAATAAGGAAGCAGATGTGGGTTGTGGATTCTAGTCTCTAGTACAGCAAGTGTCTGCCTTCTATTCTGTATGGCAGGGGCGGGCAAAATATGGCCCACGGGCCAAATCCAGCCTGCCAGACATTCTATCTGCCCCACAGGGCCCCTAAAAATGTTAGAAAATTAATATTTATCTGCCCCGGCTGCCTGTCAAAGATGACAGGAACAGGGGCAGTAGGACCCAGTTGGAGCCAGTGGCAGAACTAAACAGCCTCAGCAGCAAGTCTGGCTTGGCCCCGCCCTCCCCAACCCCTCCCAGCCTGAGTCCCAGCCGAAAGCCTCTGCCTAGCAAGGGGCTTCTGGAGTCTTCTGGCCTGGGACTGCTTCTGCCTCCCTGCACCAAGGGAAATATAAGAAGGAGGGGGGTGGGAGGCAAGGGAGGACTGTGGGTGATCGCCCCAGTCCTCAGGGCTGGCCAGGCCGGCTCCTGCAATCCGGCGCTGCAGCTGGGAACCATGTGGTGCTGGCCAGCCAGCTGGCAGGCAAGGGGAGGAGCAGGGAAATGGCTACAGCAGGTGGAAGAAGGGGCAGCCAGGGGGTGAGTGGAGCACAGTGATAGCTGGGTGGGAGCATGGGGCCTGCACTGGTGCATCAGGGCCAATGCCGGCGGGACCCAGAGCAGGGTGGCAGGAGCGTGGGGCCAGGCTGCCATGGACTCCAGGGAGCTGGGTTGGCTCCCTTCTCTGCCTGCTGGAGCAGTGCAGCACGGCTCCATAGAGCCACTGCCAGTCTGGCCCCACGCTCCTGCTGTTCCGCTCTGGCCCCTGCCAGTGCTGGCCCCAGTGCACTTTAATGGACCCCGCACTTCTGCTCAGCTGTTACTGCATTCTGAGTGCCCATTCACTGCCCCTTCGCCCTGCCTGCTGCAGCCATTTCCCTGCTCCCCCTCCTCTCCCCCCGCCGGCCACACTCTGGCACCATGCGGTTCCCAGCTGCAGCACCGGGATTGCAGGAGCAGCTGGGACGTGGTGCCAGAGTGGCCGGGGACGGGGGCAGGAGCAGCAGGAGAAGGGCAGCAGTGTCAGATGGGGGGCAAGTGGCAGTGAGCGGGAACATGGGGTGCAAACCAGTGCCCCAGGGTCAGGAGTGGCAGGAGTGCAGAGCCTGGGCTTGCAGGAGTGCTGGCAGGGGCTCTGCCTGCCATGGTGAGGAGTGGGGGAGGCATACGGGCTCTGGACAAACCCTCCACCTCCACACATGCCACAACCCTCCCCAGCCACCCTTCCCTCACACACTCGCAGCCCCTTGCAAAACTCAACCACCCACACACCCAGACCACCACACCTATCCACCCGCCCACACCCCACACACACACCCTCCCCCACACCCCATATACCCTGCAAACCTATACCCACCCTCCCACCTACACTCTCCCAAAATATACAAGAGTAAGGCTTCATTTTAAGCTATTACACTATCACCTCTATGTACACTACACAAACACGTGTAAATTGGAGCAAAAATATTTTTTGAAATGAAATTAATGAATGTTGTAGTTCATGTTTGATTTTTAGAATATAATTTGGTATTTTTCTGGTTCAGAGATGGCAAAAACCTCTACTGAGAGGAGTAATTTCGGGGAGCAAGAGGAGGGGCTTCTGGTGGCAAAGGTCAGAGGTTAGGGGGCGGGACTTCTAGGCCCAAGATGGTGACCAGGGTGTGAGGCACCAGTCAAGGGATGGGGCTACCCATGCAGCCCTTGATGGCTTGCCAAAACTCAGTAAGCAGCTCTCACCTGAAATAATTGCCCACCCCGCTATATGGCCTCAACTGTTAGTATATATGTGTGTTAGTATAAATGACTAACTTGTTCAGGTTTCTAAAAGGTACCAATCACAGGCATCTCAGTTCAAGCACAAAAATTAAAATACCCTAATTAGAAAACTAACTTAATGGTTAATTGCTAAGACTCTTCTCAAGACTTTTCTTCTCTATCTGGATAAAGTATAGCAAAACATCTTTGCAACATGCACAGAGCTCTCCAAATCTGGGTTTTTGTGTAGCAAAGAGGGTAGCAAGTTCCACAGAATTTTACTGAGAACAATTAGATTGATCCTAATAATGGATCAAGTGTAACTGCTGGAACTGTCACTTTGCTGAGGCCTTCACTTCAGCAGCACTCCACACTGAGGAGTCCAAAGGGGAAAACATGAGAAGATGAGAAGCACTGGGAGGGAGGAGGAGGAAGAAAAAGGAAGGTTTTGTTTCGTTTTGTTTTTTGGTTTTGTTTCTTTTTTTGGTTTTTTATATCATGCTGCAGGAGAAAGGGGCATCTGTGAGTGTTGGTGCTGTGGGCAAGCTCAATTATTTAATTAGGTATGCTCTTTGTAGATATCTATTTCCATGTCTCATCTTTGTTCTGATCAGAACATCAAGCCCAAAATTAAGGGATTATGATTCCATTCACCCACTAGTTATTTCCTCCCATTTATTCCTTTGTCAGATGTTAGTGATCTTGTTCTTTGAAAAGGTACTGTGTCTAGTTTTGATAGGGCCTCATATATTGTGTGGCATTCTGACAGAAATTCTCTAAATTCTGTGGCAGTTTCAGTTAACTTTAAAAAAAAAAATATTTAAATTAAAATCAAAATGAATGTGGATAATGCCCTTGGCACAGTAGCCCTTGAGGTGCTCATTTTAGTATTAAATTCAGTTTATGCTGTCAAAATTTATGGTGCACCAAAAATTATCATCCAAAAATTCCTCAGAGCAGGGATCAGCAACCTATGGCCCATGGGCCAAATCCCACCTACAGAACCATTGGATCTGGCCCATGGAACTAGGGCTTCGGCGACATTTGGCAGACAGCACCATGCTGCTGTGTCCAGGCAGTGGGCGCAAGGAGCTTTCCTGTGCTGCACCGCAGCCTAATGGCACAGAGAAGTAGTGGCAGCAGCCAGTCCTAGCACCGGTCCACCCCAGACCCAAGTTGGGCCATTGTGGCCTGCTGATGGGAATCTGAGGCTGATTGCAGCTTCATAGGGATCCCTGGGCACTTAAGATCCCTCAGAGTTGCTGTTTCAGTCTGTCTGCAGACTCAGGCAAAGTTATTGAGTTTTATTTTGTTCCCCATTTCAAGCTTATCACTATCAAGAAAACTAGAAATGTGTTTCCATTTAAACTAAAATTATGGAGCTCAGTTTTGTGGCCAGGAGCAGATCCCACAGGATATGCTTCAGTCATAGTATATATGTAGTTCTGTAGATTTTTTTTTGATCTAGCTCTACCTTCAAGATCCTTGCTGCCCGAAGAGTAACAGGTTGTGGCTTCCTGACTAATTGTATTTTATTCAATCTAAGAACCTGACATAGGAATTGGTTTAATAATTTAACATCGGGTATAAATAGACCCGGCTGGGCTCCTCCCGTCCCCAGCAGCTCGTAGGAAGTCAGCTTTAGCCGTGTGCAGCTCCAGATGGGATGGACCTGGCCAGGTCAGCACCGGCCAGGAAAAGCTGGCTTCCCACATGCTACTGGGCTGGGGAAGAGCCCGGCCGGGTTGGCACCGGCCAGCAGAAGCGGCAGTGGAGTCATATGCCGCTCGGGACGGGACGAGCCCGGCTGGGGCGGCAGGGGGGGGGGGCGA